TTACCCTGATACCAAAACCAAATAAGTGATGCCACAAAAAAGACAAAATTACAGGCTGATGAACACAGATGGAAAAATCCACAACAAAATATTGGCAAAGCAAATTCAGTAATCCATTACAAGGATCATGCATCATAACCAAGAGGGATTTATTCCAAGGATGCAAAGATGTTTACACATGCAAATCAGTCAGTGTTTAACAAACTGGACAAAAATCGTATTATCTAAAAATCGATTATCTAACATCACAGCTAAAACATTTGACAAATTCAACAACCATTTATGATAAAAACTCTCAATAAAGTGGTTATAGGGGAACATACCTCTATATAATAAGGGCCACATATGCAAAGCCCATAGCTAACTAACATCATACTTAAGGGTGAAAAGCTGAAAGCTTTTCTTCTAAGATCAGGAACAAAACAGATATGTCCACTTTCAACACTTACTCAACACAGCATTCAAAGTCCTAGCCAGAGCAATTTGGACAAGAAAAAGAAATAAGATGCATCCAAATTGGAAGGGAAGGAGTAGAACTCACTATTTACAGATGACATTATGTAGAAAACCCTAAAGACTCATCAAAAACTCTTAGAATAAATAAATTCAATAAAGTTGCGGGATATACATCAATACACAAAAATCTGTTTCATTTCTTTACATTAATAATGAACTACTGGAAATAGAAAAAAAAGAATCCAATTTACAATGGCATCAAAAAGAATAAAAATGCTAAGAATAAATTTAACAAAGGAAGTGAAAGACCTGTATGTTGAAAATTGTAAGACATTAATGAAAGAAACTGAAGACAAAAATACATGGAAAGATATCCCATGCTCACGGATTGACAGAATATTGCTGAAATGTCCATATTACCCAAAGGAATATACAGATGCAATGCAATACTTATAAAAATTCCATTAGTATTTTTCAGAGAAATAGAACAAATAATCCTAATATTTGTATGGAATAACAAAGACCCTGAACAGCCAAAGCAATCCTGAGAAAGAACAACAAAGCTGGAGGCAGCATGTTCCCTGTTAAACTATATTACAAAGCTGTAATAATTACAACAGCATGGTACTGGCATAAAAACAGACACACAGATCAATGAACAGAATAGAGACCCAAGAAACGAACTCACACATATATGTGACTAAATTACTGATGAGAAGTTTCTTGTTATAAAAGTATTAAGCTAAAAATCAAAGCAACCTGCTAATAAAATAATAAAACTCTACAGTGACTATTAAAGACAGCTAACATCACATTAAGTGCCTCTTTCTGATGAAAGTACAGAACATCACCTTTGCTGATTTCTTGTTCCTGCCCCTCCACCACTCCAGGCAAATCTGAATCTGATTAAATCTCCAAGGAAAAATATTTTGGTACAAGGATATTATCTGCAAAATCCAAACTGTGGGAAACTAAAGAATAAATGACATGCATTCTTCAACAAATAAGTTGCAAAGAAAAATTGCAGAGAAAAAAGGGAGAATCTAGTGATTAAAAGACATGGTAGAACTGCAGTATATGGGCATCACTTGGAACATGACTTAAATAAACTGTAAACAATCAGGAAAATCTGAATACTAATTGGATATTTGAGAATATTAATCAACTATTAATTTTTTTTAAGGTTTGGTGATGGGTTTTTTAAAAAGTAGTATCTTTTAGTGACACAAACTAAAATAGTAACAGATGAACTGACAGGATGTCTGGGATTTGATTCAAAATAATCTAGAAGGTAGACAGACACAAGAGATGAATCCTGACTGACCGTGTTGAAAAGAATTGCAAGTGGATTATGGGAACACAGGAGGTTCATGAAATTACTCTTACTTTTATACACACTTGAAATTTTCCACAGTAAAAAGACTTCAAAGTATCCTTCACATTTAGAAACAGGTCACTTAATGGCAAGTACGATTTGTGGAGTGAAAGGCAAGTACTAATAAGTGAAACAACCAAGGGTTTGGCAGGAATGGGGAGGTGAGATAAAGATAGTGACTAAAAGTGGAGGTTCGCTTGCGGTAAGATTTTTTTCTACAAATTCATCCACTCATCATTCATTCAACCAAAAAACAGAAGTCACTGCTACATAGACCATGAACTATTGAGATGCTGGGATAAAGCAGCGAATTAAAAACTCAACAGAAACCACTGCTCTTATGAGCTCACATTCTAATATGAAGATTTTAGGGGAAAGTTAAATGAGGATTTTCTAAAATCTCTGTAAAACTGACATTTTAGGCTTGATAATCTTTGTTGTAGGAAGCTCTTCTGTGTATTAAAGGATGTTTAGAAGCATCCCTGGCCTCTACCTACCAGCTGTAACAACAAAAATGTCTCCACACCTTGCCAAACATCCCTGGGGGGTCAAAATCACCTCCAGATAAGCACTGGGCTAGAAGTTAGTAAATGCTATGGAGAGAAATAGTGAAAAGGGGAATAAAAAGCACCAGGGTGAGGGTGCAATGGATTTGCAATTCTAAATAGGATGGTTGGGAAAGAGCACACAAGGCAGAAAGAACAGTTAAATACAAAAGTCTTGGGGCAGAAAGGTACTGGCATAAGGAACTGCAAGAAGGCCAGTGTAGCTGGAGCAGTGTAGCTGGAGTGTATAGGAAATGATGCACACTTAGAGCACTAAATGGGAAAGATCTAAACATGCTAAATTGCTAGTAAGAAAAAGGTAATAGGGTGTTGTTTCTGTCATGGCCAAGTAAGCTCCTAATAGACTGACCCTCCACAGATAACATGAACTCTATGGGGAGGGGAGAAGCCACCCCCCACCTTGACTCCCACCAACTATATATGCAGGGACTAATATGTGAACAAAAGCTGGCAGACTCTGGAGGGGACTTAAATGAGAAAGCAAGGAAAAGCAAGGTATATTTCCTATTTATTAAAACCTTTCAGTCTGAGGGAAGACTGTGTGAGGTAGCTAAAACTCCAATAGAAAACCTGGTTTTTCTGGCCTGGAGAATCAAGAGGTAAGAGTTTGGGGAACTAAAGCTGCTAGAAAGTGAGGTGGCAATCCTGGAAAGGAACATCAAATATTGTGTATAAATTCTGCCCAATTTCTGGCTAACCATACAGGACAGACTCCAAGCTGCCTAAAGGAAAGGATCAAAAAACAAAAGCAAGATTTCAGCTGCTACCTGAAAGATACTATTTGCAGTTGGAGTCTAACCCAATTAACTGCTTGACAGCAAAATTAAATCAATACTCTTCGGAGGAATATAACATTATTTAGAGTCTACAGTGTAGTATTCACAGTGCCCAGGATATAATCCAAAATTACCTGACATTGAAAGAGAAAAAGTGATCCAATCTCAGGAAAATATAATCAACAGAGTCTAACCTTCAGATGACCTAGATATTACAATTACTAATCAGATTCTAAAGCAGCTCTTACAAATACGTTCAATGACATAAAGGAAATGCACATTCATAATATGAACATACATTTACAATGAAAAAATAAATGCCACAGAAAGATAAAATGTTAAAAAAAAGGAAGACTGAAAATTCTGGAAATTAAAAAGTATCGGAAATTAAGAATTTGGTGTATGGACTTAACAACAAAATGGACTCAACAGAGAACACAGTGAACTTTAAGATAACAAATAGAAATCATTCTGAAGACAGAAAGAATACAGCAAAACAAAGAGAGCCTCAGGAACCTGTGAGATAATATCAAAAGGTTTAACATACATGTCAACATAGAAGTTCCATAAGAAGCGAAACAATGAGGCAGAAGAGTATTTAAAGAGGTAATAGCCAAAGGTTTCCCCAAAGCTGGTAAAAGATAAATTCAGATTCAAGAATCTCAGCAAAGCCCAAAAAGGTTAAATACAAAGAAAACCATATCTAGTCACATCATAGTCAAACTGCTGGAAACCACAGATAAAGAAAATAATGAAAGTAACCAAATAAACACATTACATATGAGAAATAATGTGATTATAGCTGACTTCTCACCAGGCAACAATGCAAATAAGAAAACAAGGGATTCCTATAAATTGCTGAAAGGAAACTAGCATCCTAGAATTCTAAATACAGTGGAAATATTCAATAAAGAATGTAAAATAAAAACCCATGAAAGAAAGAGCATTTGCCAACAGCAGACCTACACTAAAAGGAAGAAGCTAAAGACAGGAAGAGATTAGGACAAATATCAACAAACAGAGCAAACATCAATGGTTTCAAATATTTAAAAGATATATGCGACGCTGCTTTCACAGCCATAAAGGATCTTCAAGATCACTTTTCCAACCTCTTCATTTTAAAGATGGGGCAAACAATGCAATGCAAAATCCTGTTATTATCCAGTGGTACAATTTACTAGAAAGTATTATTGACTTCTGGGCCAAAGCAATGGAAGGAATTAAACACTACTTAAAATTCTGTCAACAACTCAGAATATAAACTCAGTGAAAATAAATTGTTAAACTAACAGATATTATTTCTAAGGGTTATACAAAAACTGAATCTTTCATTTAAGTTACCTAAGGAATTTACTTAAAAGCATAATGTGAATCTTTTCATGTCAACAATCTTTTTTATGAAAATTCAAAATTTACTTTTTTTAAACAAATGAGAAATATAATTTCTTTAAAAACAATGCTAGACAGAGATCTTTGTTGCACATAAGTGTCAATAGGAGCAAAGTTGTGTCTTAAAATGTCACTAGTTTTTGTATTCAGTTCATAGTTACCTTTGGAAGGAAACAAACACAATAGGCTCTGGAAAATCAGAATTAAAGAAATATATAAAACCGTAACATACAAATTACAGGAATTTCCCATGCCCACAAGTCAGGTACATAATGGGAAGGAATCCAAAATCCTCAGATCTGAGAAAAAATGATGCCAGGGTTCATTAAGGAACACATTAATACATTTCAAAACACTGAAAAATTATCACCTGGGTCTTTGTATGTACTGGGTTAGCATAACCTCGTACAATACAAGTGTATGGTCTTAAATGCTTACCCCAACAGCTGGCACTTCTTCACTCTTCACTTCATTTATTCGAACCAAATAGTTAACAAAGTCTCTGGCAGCATTACTCTGAGCATCTTTTTTGTTCGTTGAATTGCCCATGCCAGTGTAATTATATCCCTCCACTCGAACCTGTAACAGTCAGAGAGAAAAATGTATTAAGGGACTAACCTGGGTAATTCTGGGGTTTAAGAAATTCATACTTCAGTAGTCCATAAGAGGTGAGTGACAGTTACCTGTTGGAGATACACTCAATAAACACACTAAAAAAAACACAGCTAAGAATTCATGGGCTACTTTGGAAAAGCTTCAATCATTTGTCCAGCGATAAGCTAATCCACAAGGAAGAATATTAATTTATGTGGCTCAGATCTTCTCTTTTTATGTAACACTATGTTCCACGTTAAAATCCAATTTTATAAGACCCCAAAACAAGCTCTCCATTTGTATTTATTTTAAGCACTTTGACATGAAGCAATCAAGAACTGTTCTGCTTTCTGCAGGATTTAGTAAAACTGCAAACAGCTGACCCAACTTTTCTGCTCTGCATTGAAGCTTAAGAAGATACACATTACAATTAGATAATTTACCTATCAGGTTGCTTTAAAAATAATGCTCATTTGAAAATGATTTATAATGAAATAGAATAGCAGGCAAGTCACAGTAAAGAACATTCTCCAATGTGAAAAAAGCTAACAACATTTCTAAAAAGAAAACAACGTTCTCTCAATACCAGAAGCAGCCTCAAATAAAGAAAAAAAATCACATAAATGAAAACTGCATCCTTCAGTACCTCACACATGAATTTCTGCCTGTTTTTGTTCCCCACTGCTCTAATTTCATAGGATGGGGTCATCTTCTTTTTGCCACACCAGGCATACAAAAAATTTTTGACATCACCCATGATTCAAGGTCTTCAGACCTAAGAAAACAAAACAGTTAAAAACAGCATCATTTTTGAGAGCAAACACCAGAAATTATCAATTTGGAAATAACCCATAAATGGAATTTACTGAAAATCTATGTTAAGTACAGGATATTCTATCATTAGCTGCTATTCAAACTGCCTATGAAGAAATTTCAATGACATAACTGGAAAGTTTATACCATGTTATAAGAAAAAACAGGACAGAAAACTGCACAATTTGAAATAACCCCCAAATTGGTTGCCTCTGGGTAATTATTTTTATTTTTTCACAAAGAAAATTTTTATGTAATATCCTTTTTTTTTACAGTAGGCATCTTATGTGTTTTAACATATTTAGTACTCAAAACAATGGTAGATAACATTGTATCTACGATTATCATCTTTTTGCAAATAAACCAAGGCACAGAAAGTTTCTTTCCAAGGTACCTATTGTGGCGGCCTGAAGACTATATTAATAAAGTATGAAATTAAGAATTTATTTATATTAATCAAAGACATACTAAGAAATCATTTTGTGCAGAAATCCAAGTTTATTCTCATTCTGCTTCCTAGTGATTTTCCTCAAGTTGTAGGCTATATGCAGTAAGTCCACACACATTAAGCACTCAGTACTTGAAAAGAAAACAGTAACCTGTTAACACTGATATTCTGTACCAAACTCTCCTTTAGAACTTGTTATTCATTTACATTTGAGGATACTTGATTTGCTTGAAGTGCAACATACCATACTAGTTGGCACTCTCCCTCTACTCTAGTTTATAAAATAACCAAAAGATATGGAACCTGAGTCTAAAATCTGAATCTACATTATAGACATCGAGAACAAACTTAGACCCAGACAAAATATGCTGTGAATTTAGTTTGCTCTAAGAAACCCCATTACTAGTGTTAAATGTTTGTCTTCTGTTAAAAAATGTTCAGTGCATTCAGTTACCACTAAGTCTCCTGCCACTAAACTGGACCCTAGTATAAATTTACTCTGTAGCCACTGGTTAACCGTGGGGACATCCTATTAACTGAAAGCAGTTAAAGGTTGAAGATGCCTGTCTATAAATTCCACCCTGAATAATTAATTCAAAAAGCCCTCAGGCTGAATGAGTCACATGAAATGGGAAGGGCAACATTATCAAATTCCTTCCTAGGTAGTCTCATCAAACTCTGTAAAGTTCACTATCAACTGTATGCTAATGTGTCCAAATCTATATAGAAAATTTAGTCCTTTTTCCCTAAGCTCCAAAATTAAGTTCGTCCAATTGCAACATTGAAGTACTCATCTGTTGACTTGGCATCTCAAAAAGATAATTTTAAATTTCATCCCTAAACCTGGTCCACCTCCCGCCAATCCCAGGTGTTCCCATCTCCGTAAATGGCTCCAGCATCCAAGTTACTCACCTCACGACGTGGGAGTCATTCATTCCCTCGGGATCCTCCATGGCTATCCTTGTACAGCCACTACTATGGCCCAGACAGTATTCTTAGAGGATCATCTACATTGAACTACTTTACTTAACCCTTACAACAGCCGTACCGACAAGCGTTATCATCATGTTCTTTTCAGAGGAGTAAACTGGCACAAATAATAACCTGCCCCATAAGATAGAACTCATAGTTGGGGGACCCAGAATTCCAAACAAGGCAGTCGGACTCCTGATTTACTTTGCATTTTGCCTCCAAAACGCGTCTCCAGTTCATTAGGTTCTTTACATCTCCCCTCCCGCCACTCCTGCACGCGTGGAATACTGCAGTAAGGTTCTAAATGATTCCCGTTTCCACTCTGGCCACCCCGATCTCCATTCGCCACAACCCTTCTCATCACACTCGTTACACGGCCTTCCTTCTGTTTCTTTCCGATCTCTGCCCCTAAGCACTCCCTAGTCCCCTCTGCCGCAGCAGTTCTGCTTTTCCTCTGCACTTTCACAGCTGATGCATCCTCGGCCTAAGGCCGACAGATCAGCTCAAAGGTCTACCTCCTCTGAAACCTTCCCTAAACACCCCTCTAAAGGAGCTCGCTCCCTTTACACTCTGTCAATCCCATCTTTTTGCCGGAACCTGCAAACATTGTTTCCCTTTGCCTCTCCACCTCCACCACGGCCGCACCGACTGAGCCCATCTTGTTTTCTGTTCTACCCACAGGGCCTCCAGGCGGGCAGCCGGTATTTGGGGAGGAATGAATGAATGAAGAGGCCGAGGCGTGTGCGGCTTCACGGCGGGCTCATCACCAGACAAAATTCAGCCCCTTTCACTCAGCGGCGACAGCGCCACCGCCGCACGCAGGCCGGAGGGGGCGGGGTTTGACCGCTTCGGAGACAGGATTGGAAAATGCGAGCGAAGGGCAGGGGGCCACACCGCGGCCCCAGGCAGCGCAGGCGCGACGAGCAGCACGCAGCACGCAGTCGGGAACGCGGCGGGGCGGCTCGCCCCTTCCCCCACCCGCCGGGGCCGCCCGCGCTTCACAACAAACCCAGCTGCGCAGGTCGCCTCAAAGGGCGGCCAGGACGTCTCCCTTACCGGCGTCCGCCTCCTGGCACCCGAGTGCACAGCCCACTTAGCAGCGTCCGTAGTCCCGGCCTTCCTCAGAGACGCCCAGCAAGCCCACCGCAACTTGCAAGCAGGCGGCGACGAAATGGCTCCGACGGCGGCGCCAGCGGGGTGGGGTCAGTGCGCGTACGCCTGCGCAGAAAGCGAGCTCAGGGCGAAGGGCGCCGGAGGGAGGGGCGGGGCGCGGAGCGTCCCGTCGCCCGGGAGATGAGGTGCTCTCGGTCCGGCTTCTCGGAGTGCGCTGCCTCCTTTCGAACGTTTTGGGGAGTTATGGATCTGTAGTAGTTTGATGTGGCAAAATATTTCGCAGCTTCTGTCACAGGGACCTCTGGTAGCTGACACATAAATGGTAGAAGACAGGTAGACGTCTTTTTCGCAGACAGACCTGGAAATCTTAGGCGCTGACTTCATAGGCTTGTTGAGACGAGTAAATGAGATGGCGTATGAAGGGGGCTTAGCACAGAATCTAACACATACTAGGTGTTGTTATTGTACGATTCAAATACTGTAAAGAGAACATCTGAAAGGAAGCTCAGTGAAGGGAGGAACCCTCTTTGGCTAGCTCAGGTCACTAGTTCTTAGCACACCGTAAGTGCTCAATAAAAACTAATGGATGGATAAAGCCTGGGGGTTGTTTTTGTTTAAACTGGCTATCCTTTTGGAATGATTTGTGTCCTTAACTATTGTAGTAGTCACTGTTAAACTTTTGAACTCTCTTGCGTTCCATGAAGGCAACAATACAAAATATTTCAAGTCTGAGTTGTTCCAGAGAATGCAGACTGATCAATTATCTGGGTCCCTCATATGTACTGACCCTTATTTTTCACCTCTTTTCATTACGTTTTTTTCCTTAATTCTTCTAGCTCATAAAGACCAATTCCTTTAAAACTCTGCTGCTCCTACAATCAAAATAACATTTTAGCATTTACTCATTCTTATATTTTCTCCGTGTGTTTGCTCTCTTCAATTAAGAGTAAAATCATTCAAAGACAGACCCTAAACTTTTATTTGTATCTTTCAGAGTGCTTAAAGCAGCAGGTGCCTGATACTTATGATAAGGGAAACTCAACTGGTGTATACAGATAGCAACTGTTTTGTAGAAGATAATGAACACAGGAAATGTCAACATATTAAGTATAAATAAAAAAGTATAAATAAAATTTCCCAAAGTGGATCATTAGCTTCCAAGAATTATGGAGAATGTTATTACTAACTCGGTTCTTAGTTTAGGCCTTGTACCTGAGACCTAAATTCCCCAGGGGATTAGGTACCATGACTGGCATTACTTTTGTTGATTGCCCTTGGCAACTAGCACCCTAGAGAGCTTCCTTAAAACTTGCACCAGAGCTTCAAAACATGCACCAGAAATATGGGGAGTGGACAGATTTCAATACAACCATTGTATGTCCCCAGTATATGGCTATCTAGAAGACTACAGAGGTGAGCAAAGCAGGATAGAGCAGTGTGGGAATTTTTAAAAGGTTGATAAGAAAATAGCATTATTTCTACTTAAGAATTTGGAACTGAGAATAAAGCTGGCGGGCATTATGCTCCCCAACTTCAAGCTCTATTACAAAGCCACAGTAATCAAAACAATTTGGTACTGGCACAAGAATAGACCCATAGATCAATGAAACAGAATAGAGAGCCCAGATATAAACCCACACATATATGGCTAATTATTATACGATAAGGGAACCATGGATATACAATGGGGAAATGATAGCTTCTTCAACAACTGGTGTTGACAAAACTGGACAGCTACCTGTAAGAGAATGACTGGATTATTGTCTAACTTCATACACAAAAGTAAACTTGAAATTGATCAAAGACAGACCTGAATGTAAGTCATGAAGCCATAAGACTCACAGAAGAAAACATAGGCAAAAATCTCTTGAATATAAACATGAACAACTTCTTCATGAACACATCTCCTCGGGCAAGGGAAACAAAAGCAAAAATGAACAAATGGGGCTATATCAAACTAAAAAGCTTCTGTACAGCAAAGGACACCATCAGCAAAACAAAAAGGCCTCCTACAGTATGAGAGAATATATTCATAAAAATCCAATAAGGGGTTAACATTCAAAATATATAAAGAGCTCACATGCATCAATACCCAGAAAGCAAATAACCCAATTAAAAAATGGGTGGAGGATATGAACAGACACTTCTCCAAAGAAGAAATTCAGATGGCCAACCGGCACAAGAAAAGATGCTCCATATTGCTAATTATCAGGGAAATGCAAATTACCACCACAATGAGATATCACCTCACTCCAGTTAGGATGGCAAACATTGAAAAGACAAGGAACAACAAATGATGGTAAAATTTGGAGAAAGGGGAACCCTCCTACACTGTTGGTAGGAATGTAAATTAGTTCAACCTTTGTGGAAAGCAGTATGGAGGTTTGTCAAAAAACTAAAAATAGAAACCCATTTGACCCAGGAATTCCATTCTAGGAATTTACCTAAAGAAAACAAGATCCCTGATTCAAAAAGACATATGCACCCCTATGTCTATCGCAGCACTATTTACAATAGCCAAGATACGGAGGCAACCTAAGTGTCTATCAGTTGATGAATGGTACATACATACAATGGAATATTATTCAGCCAGAAGAAGAGAACAAATCCTACCATTTGCAGCAACATGGATAGAGCTAGAGAGTATTATGCTCTGTGAAATAAACCAGGCGGAGAAAAACAAGTACCAAATGATTTCCCTCATCTGTGAACTATAACAATGAAGCAAAACTGAGGGAACTAAACAGCAGCAGACTCACAGAACCCCAGAATGGACTAACAGTTACCAAAGGGAAAGGGACTGGAGAGGGCGGATGGGAACGGAGGGAGAAGGGGATTAAGGGGCATTATGATTAGCACATAATGTAGTGAGGGGCACGGGGAAGGAAATATAGTACAGAGAAGACAAGGAGTGACTCTATAGCATCTTACTATGCTGATGGACAGTGACTGTAATGTGGTATGTGGTATGGACTTGATAATGGGGGGAATCTAGTAACCACAATGTTGCTCATGTGATTGTGTATCAATGATACCTTAAAAAAAAATACTGAAGGGAAAAAAACAGCAGCAGACTCATAAACTCCAACAAGCAACTAGCGGTTACCAAAGGGAAGGCGATGGGGAGGGTCCGTGGGGAGGAAGAGAGAAGGGGCTTAAGGGACACTATAATTAGCACACATAATATAGGTACTTCATGAGGAAGGCAGTACAGAACAGAGAAATAATGACTCTATAGCATTTTACTACGCTTATGGACAGTGACTGCAATGGGGTGTGGGAAGAGACTTGATAATATGGGTGAATGTTGTAACCACAATGTTGTTCATATGAAACCTTCATAAGATTGTATATCAATGATACCTTAATAAAAAATTAAAATTAAAAAAACCATTTGGAACTGAGGCTATAGGTCACTTTTAATAATCAAATATTTAAAGATCTGTTTCAGCTGGGCTGCTTGAAATGTCACATTTACCTTTTGGGTTAAACATAACTATGGAAAGTTGACTTAGTTTCTAAGCTTGGTGAAAAAAAATTATCAAGATAGATTATTAAATTCAATCTGTGCGATATATGGGGAAAAACACTGGCAAAGTTTCTCATGTTATTTGTTACTTCTGCACATTCAACATAATGAGGCAAAGTTTTTGGCATGGAGAAAGGGATGGTTATAACCAACACCTATGGTTGAAATGGATGAGAAAGGGGAGAGAAGGTTTATGTTCATCATTCATCTTCTGTTTCTCAAATAAGCAAAGGAATGGGGGTGGGGGAATGAAATAAGAAAGCCTGGTACCAGACAGAACTAGGATTCACTCAAAGTCATGATGTCTGGAGGGGGCCAGTGCTAGTGAAATTTGAGCCCACTCATAAGCTTGTGAACACCAATGACACTTTTGTTCTAACACATACAATGTGTAAGGATGCACGTTTCACCCACTAGGCATGATTTTGTTAAGTAGCAACCCACAAAACACAAAGCTGATTAGAGGTAGAGTTTGGATTATTCTTCTAAGATTTAGTTTTAAATGTCTTACTACAGTAACATGTGGCTCAAAAGCCAGGGCGGCTTTGCCTTAATGCTACTGTTGACTGTGAGAAAGTTTGCTCTTGAGTGGAATTGTGGGCACCCACTAACTAAGCAACCAGTACAGTCTTGGAGAAAATTAGGACAGGACATGAAAGGTGCTAGACACAGCAAATATAATACATTAAAACAAGAGAAAAGTACAATCGTTTAAAAAAGTGGAATTAATAATGACTTAAGATTTAAAGAATTAATGATCTTTTTAGCTCGAAGAATGTCACAGATGAAGTGAATAATCTGGAATCCAGCAGAAATGACTGTCAAGATTTTGAGGATGAAGAATAAAATATCTCATACCTTTACACTATTTTCTTTCTTGTTATATAATTATGGTATTCATCGAAATGCTAATTTCTATTAGAATTCTTTTTTGTGGTGTTGTTAAAAACAAAAACACAGCCCCAAACAAAAACATAGGCCAAGTCACCAAACTGGGTCTTAATGACCAACCGAATTGTAGTTTGAGCCTCTGCCAGGAGTTGAATTTAAACCAGTCAGTTTGCAACTTCCTAGTGAGGTCATCTGCATAAAACTCCCAGAAACTCCTAAGGGAAGGTGGTCTTACTTGAAACAATCTCTAATCATCTTTTGCTAACAACCTTTTGCCCTACCCTCCAGTTTAAAAAAACCTTCCATTTTGTACAACTCCTCTTAGCATTTCTCTACTTGCTAGATCAGATGCTGCCCAATTCATGACTTGCTTAATAAAAACTATTGCTGACAGCCCTGTCTGGGGAGGTCTCTTGCTGTCTGTTAGGTGAAAACTCAACCTGGTTGGGCACGGGATGGCTCTTGACTCTGGCAAAGAATTCGCCATCATTTCAAACAAGTGCGATCAAGAAAGGAATTCATTAAAGCAAAAGTACTAGAGTTGCACAGTGCCAAGAAAAGTTGCTCTTTTATTTGTGCAGCCATGCAGGCAGTAGAGAGCAAAGAAGAAAAGAGAAAACAGGCAACACCTGCTCACTGTAGAGCAACTCTCTTGCCAATTTCTAAAGCAAGGGTC